TGTCTCTCCGCAGCTGGAAGCGCTGGAAGCGGTCTTTGCCCAGACTCACTATCCAGACGTCTTCACGAGGGAAGAGCTGGCCATGAAGATCAACCTGACAGAGGCCCGCGTGCAGGTAAAGGAGGGCTGGCGGCCCGGAGCTGTCCCTTTCCTCCTCTTGCTTCGGCCCCTTTTTCTCTGCATCCTCTCCTTTTCCTCGTGCTGCCTGCAAGGAGGATCCATTTGCACATTTGGCCAAAGAAAATAAATGAAGCCGATCTGTCATTTTCATGATGCACTTTAATAACATCAACATAATGTGGAATATTAGATTAGGTTGATTAATCGGTCATTCATAATTAACCAGTGATAATGTTCTACACTAATTTGTCCGTGTCTCCAAGGTACTAAATTACATCAGTGCACATCCATTTCCTTGCATTGGAGGGTTGGGGAGAAGGGGTGGGGTGGGGTGGGGTGCCGCTGGGGAAGGAGGAGGCAGACACTCCCAACGGCTCTTCCTTGACAGTATGCAAAGCTGCTGTCCGGTGAACCTGATTAGCAAAAAAACAATTTGGTTTGATCTGAATGGAAATGGGGACAAAGAATGAATCTTCCCTAAGAAGGAAGCTCCTCCGGGTTAGTTTCTTGTCAAATGAGGCTCTATGGGATTGATCTTGGTCTTGAACAAGCTTTAGTTAGAAGAGCATATCAATTTCCTCCCCAAGCTTGCACATCTGTGCTCATCTGCTTCCATTAATCATTTTGGGGAACAGTGCAAATACTTTTTTACACACAGAAGATATAGAGAAAAAGATGCCGTCTCTTTTAATCCTGCAGGAAGTTTGCTGGCTTGTCCTGTGTTCTGGGTATCAGGATGATTGAGTATGAAACACGTTAAAATATATTCACGTTTAGCAAAATGCGTTAATAAATAGCTTGTTGAAGAGTAGACTAATTTTATTGCTTTACATTGGATTAGTATGTCTTTGGCCACGATGGAACTGCTAGTTTCTCTCCTGAATGTATCAAGAAGCAACTTCTCTTAATACCAGCAGACATACAGTAATTCCTCCCAGAAACCTTCCTCTGCGTCAGTGCTCTCTCTTTATGAATGCTTTGATGTCGGGTGTATGCGTGTGCGTAAAACATGGCAATGTCTTGTGGCAATATGCCTAGGCTAAAATTGTTTTTTTAATATAATTTTGTTAAAACTTTTAAGAAAGAAGATAAAAGACTGATAGAAACTAATAAAGTAAGAAAAAGAAAAAAGAGATCAAGGAAAGAGCAAAAAGTGTAAAAGTAAAGAGAGAAAATACAAAGCAGTAGCTTCCGATTTTCTTTACAGCAGTTATAAGTACAATTATAGATTCACCTCTTGCTCTGTGGTTACAAAGTAACTCATTTTTTTTTCTATAATGTGTCCTATCTAAACATCAACACCATAAAGTTCATTTTTTTCTGTTTCATGCAAAAAGTCTATAAGGGGTTTCCAGTTAGGAATAAACTAGAATAAGCCAGTTTGGTCTAGTGGTTAAGGCACCAGGCTAGAAACCAGGAGACTTAGGCAGGAAGGCTGGCTGGGTGGCTTTGAGCCAGTTGTCTCTCTCAGCCCAATTCACCTCACAGGGTTGTTGTTGTTGGGAAAATAGGAGGAGGAAGGAGTGTTAGGTATGTTCGCCACCTTGAGTTACTTATAAAAATAATAAAGGTGGGATAAAAAAGCTAAAAAAAAAATAAACGTAGATATTGTGTTTTCTCTAATTGCCTAGGCTAAAATTGTGTGCACGCTTCATTGCAAGCCCGATGAGGAAGCTTATCTGTTGTTTCCTGGCCCAGTCTCAGAAAATCTGGGTGAACATAAGGGCTGTGTGTCTTTTCAAGGGTCTGTCAGGCAAGGCAGGAAGGAGGAATGGGGCGTATAGTTTTATATGTGCAGGTGGGTGGAGCAGAGTCTAGGGATGAAGCCACAGGTGTGTCGTCTCTCAGTGCCTAATATATTTTTTTCCTTCAGGGAAACTGGTGATGGAAATGCAGCTGACAGCAAGAACATGGCAGGAAAAGTCCACAGGTTTATCAGTGCAGTGGCCAGTAAAGTTTCAGACCCGGTTGCATTAAGCATGGATAGATTTTCTTTTAAACTGCCTGTTCTGAAATAAAGTGAAGCACATTCAACACCGAAAATGAGCTTCCAGTACATGGGAAGAATTCTCCTTTTCGGTCAGAAGGAGAATCTGTTCTTTGAGGCAGAAAGGTGTAGTTCAGCATTCCCCTTTCTAACAATGGAGCTTGAACAGGTAGAGCCCTGTTAAAAATGGAGCCCGCCCACCCTTACATCCATCTGGCTGTATGTTTTCTCTCAGTGAGAACATTTCCATGTGCAAACAGATCTCAGAAGCGGGAACCAGGTGCTGAATAGCTCCACATCTGCGCATGCGCGCACACACACGTACACTCCTCTTATTTAGTAAGAGCCAAGCTTTTTTTAATGCTCACATATGTTATTTATGGGGCTTTTCCTGCCTGCTGTTTCTGTCTTCTTTTTATGTAGGTGCTTGGGGTTAAGATTATGCAAAGATCTAATTGTAGGAAATATAATAGCACGCCTTTCTTTCCCCAGGGTCATGTTAGTATCTCTTAAAACCCAATGGCTGAGGAGAGATAATGGAATTCACTGCAGTAAATTGGGGATTGTAAACAAATTATTTCTTCTATAATCAGATTATGCAACCATGATTATTAAATCTGAACATGAATCACTGGTCATGTGCAGGGAAATTAAACTGATTATTATTATTTGGACATTGAAATCTCCCTTTTGCCAGTACGTCGGAGGTACATTGGTTTGGAGTTTTCCCTCCCACCATTTTAGCAATTGGTGCCTAAAGACTGTGCTGCAAATTGAGATAAATGGGACAATTATGGAGCATTCAGAACTGGAAGATCATAACTTCTCCCTGAAAGGTGCAAGGGCGAGATAGGGGTGGTGACAATTATAACGTTTAGCCTTGTTGTCGAGTATTATGCAAGCAGACAATAGAGTTAGGGTTTGCTTTCATGCTAGGACATGGGGAGAAGAAGCCCTGTTTACACTATTGCCCTCTGCTCATTCAAATATGATTAATGTGCTGAAAGACCATGCCTTAATCGAAGATGATGTTGTCAAACAAAAACTAAATACGAAAATAAACGACTTCATCAGGCTCTTTCTTCAGAAGCCGGCAAACTGTCATTGCAAAGTCATTAAAATATGATAATGAAAAATAGCTCAATTAAATGTTGTTATAGCTGTGACCTTCATTCAATTAAGGCACAAGGAAGTGTCTGCAATTGGCTTTGCATTTAACTCTCCTAAATTTGGAATGCAGATAAAATCATTATTCAGCCTTTGCTGATACATGCAATTAAAAGCATGCTAAATAAAAATGGAGTGATAATAAGAACAGTGATACTCAGCACACTGTAATCATCTTTTAAATTGTGTGTTTCCTTAGCCATAACTAAGAAAGCCCAATTTTCAATAAACACAATAACACAACCAGGTTAAGCCAAACTCTCAGTTTAAAATAATCACATTCTCATTTGCAGTCCCAGTTCTTTGGAGTAACATGGACAGTGTACAAGAGATTCAAACTACATTAAAGTCTCCTTTTTATAAGCATTTTTAACAATTTTGCAGTAATGGTGGCATTTCCACAATCGCATAAATGCACACACGTACATACATATACGTAAGCATACACACATATGCTGTTTGTTTTCTCCTGTTCTTTGAGGATGATTAGCCTTCAAACTATTGGCATATAAAGATGATCCTCTCCCAGAACCTCAGCCTTTTTAGAAGATTGTCTTTCCAAGTCAAAGAGAAGGCAAATCCACATGTATGATTTTTTTTAATGTTCATACAAGGCTACTCAGTGCTAATCCCCAACCTGATTCAGGTCTGGTTCCAGAACAGAAGAGCTAAATGGAGAAAAACAGAGAGAGGATCTTCTGATCAGGAAGGTTCTAAGGAGACAGTGGCAGAAGTGACACCCCCTGGAAGAAATTTAAACTCTCCCTCCCCCGCTGATCAACCTAGGAATAAGAAGGAGAGCCTGGAGATTCAACAGAGGTAAGCTGCTGCTTCTAGTTCCTCCTGTTTGATTTTATATGTATTCAGAATTACTCATATCTGGAGTGCCATGCAGAACACGAAAGAGTGGGGAGGGGAGCTCCACAAGATATTTCTAGAGTCTTCCTTGGTCCCAAACATCCAATTAAATCTAACAGAAGTGCCAACTAATGTGAACAAATTGATGTCATTTTGATTTGAAAGAGGGAATGTCCTATAACACTGAGAAAGATTTTCAGATGGCTCCAAAACAAGGTCATGCTAAGCAGATAACATTAGGGAAGATAGAACTATATTGGCTGCTTAGCTTGGAAACTTTGGTCCTGGGAACATACAATACTTAGAAGAAAGTGAAAAGAACTTTCCTGTTTCTATGGAACAAGAGAGTGAATAAGGACAAGCAGTGATACCCAGGACAGCACTGATGCAAAGAGACATCTACATGTAAACAGAAGTCAGGGGAAGCTTTTCTTTCCCCAAAGCATACTGCATCCACAGGGTATAGTCAAGGTCAAGATGGCAGCTGCAGTGGTGCGATTGAAGTTCTGCCTGAGACCTGGTGCAGTTCCTGTGTCATTAAATAGTTGTCAGTGAACTGCATGAAAGGTTGTCTTGATTGGCACGCGGAAAGACCATAGGTATGCATACAGAGGAAAAAATGTGAATGATGGCATTCAGAGGCTACATTGAAGGTAGTGGGAAGCTCAGAAAAGCCCAAATGCACCATAAAAAAGTGATCCATAACTAGGTAACATTTTTTTTAGCCGTTCCACCTCTTCAAAACTTGTAGAATAGAAAATCTGAGTGAAAGATTTAAAGACTCTGCATTTTTTAATTATTCTATTTATGTGGCTGAGATAGTGACCAACGTATATTTGAACATCAGGTTTAGAATGATGGGTGTGGTTACAATTTTATAATTATACGAGAACAGTTATTCTTGTATTAAATGGGTGTTATTTCTGAATAAGCACAATTCTGGCATGTTAGGTTTTGTGTATTAACTCAAACTGTTCATTAGATATTTTGGTAAACCATGGTGGCATTTCTAAAGAAAAACATAGTGAAAAAAATAGTATATTTAGGTGAAAGATTTTAAAGTTATCCCTCAGTGTAAACCTTCAAAGGTGATATATACCACAAAATCAGAACTATGGAGGAAAACAATGATGAAAATAAATGAACATTTAAAACAAGAATAGCATTACAGAAAGAACTGACTCCCATGGAATCCTGACTTTGGTAAAGGCCGAGATGAACAGATAAACTCTGTCATGGTGCAATTTGGCAGACGACGGTTCTGGGAAAGGCTTGCGCAGAGTGTGCGGGGGAGCCCTGTCCATCCCATCCTTCAGTTGAGTTGCTCTGACAGGCAGACGTGCACAAGCGTTGATCTTTGACAGCACGCGGGTAAGGATGGGAAATGAAATCCTTCAGGTTCCCCCATTCAAGTAATTAAGACCAAATTAAAAAGGGTTGGTTACTAATTCTGCCTCATCACTTGCCCACTACTGCTGTCATTTGAGCTTCACATGGAAATCAAAGGTTCCGGTATAAAGTACACAAGAATGCTGCACTGTTGGTGTGAAAACATTCAGCTGTTCTGTGTGTTAGTCTTGGTTGTAATGTTGCTTTCTGTTTAGAAGTTGTTTTTTCCAGAAGATTCAAAACATCCGCACAGGAAACTTGGGGGAAGTGGGATGGGGAAGTGTGGGGGTAGATTTAAAAAACTCTCTAGTTATTATGGGAAACAGAAAGCCAAGCTATGATTGTCTAAAATATCGAGTGAATTATAGAATTATCACCCAGATTAGAATGATATAATCACTTATATATTAAACCTCTATCCTTGCGAAATGTGGCTTTCCACTACTGTTTGCTTCACAGCAGAGGATTAAGAAATAAATAAGCTTGGTTGGCATTGTATAGGTTAAGAAAATTTGGGAGGGTTGGACCTCCCCCCCCTTTCTCTGTGCACCCTGCATTGCTTAATTTAGAATAAGGAAGGCAGAGAAAGTTAGCTGCACACTTTGCATTATGCAGCTAAGCAACAAAACAAGCAAAGAATGGCTTTAGAGGAGGATTCAGAAATGGCTATTATAGAGAACCTGCAAAGGATTTAGAAAGAAAAGTAGCAAGAAAATAGAGAAATTACCAATGGAAATTTTAAAAAAGCAGAGAAATGGAAACACCGTTAGTCTGTGGAGAAATAGGTAGTGAACAGAACCGGAATTTGTGGATTTTGTAATTTTGGTTGGTGGCCTTGATTTTCTCCCCTAGCTAATAGTCTTGCCAGACAAAAGAAGGGTTCCTACGAGGAATGTTGCATTTCCCCTTCTAAGACTGAACCTGGCATTCGGTTCCTGCTCCTGCCTCCCAGCCAGGCACTGCAGCTGGCACTGCCGGAGGTCAGACTGGGCCTGGACTGGGAAGCCTAGCAAGAGATGCAGCCGAGGGTTGGTGAGGTAGGGTGGCTTCGCACCTTACCAGCCTGGGAAAAGATTTCAGCCCCGGTCGACCTCCCCTTTGCCTTTTTAAAGTAAAAGAAAGAATAGGACCACATGCTTAACTGCTTTAGCCAGTTTGCAACCAGGATGGCTTTGGGCATCATTTCAGCCCCTCCTCAGGAATGGTCTCCCCATAAGCTGGGGAAGAAAGGAAGTAATCAAAAAGGGCTGTTTTCATAGGGGAGGACAGGGCTGTCTGCAGGGAGGGGGGTGAAAAAAATTAAATGGCGGGCACCACCAAGCAATCAAAGCCACACCCCTTTTTTTGCACATTGAAAAGAGGCAGGGCTTTGACCACTTGATGGTGGCTGCCATCTTGACTTCTTTAGCCCGTCCCCTGGGAGGGCAACCAAGAAAAATAGAGGTGCAGTTTGGTGGAAGCAAGGAGGAGAATGGGATTAAGCTTGGAGACTTGCTTGCCCCCTCCTCAGCCCCCACAGATGCAGTGCTGGGCTGAGCAAGGGGTAAAATAGAGGAAGAAACCTAAAAGGGGCAGCCATATATTTAGTCCACAAGACCTCCAGTGGGCATTATGTCCTTCCCCAGGTAGTATGTTTGATATAACAGCGATAAATTATCTCATCTCACCTCAGTGTCTTTAGGAAGCCAGGAAGCTGAGGAACTGACCACAAACACACAGACTGGATTAAAAAGAAAGAGTCTGTATGAAAGCCTTGGTTACTGTCTGGCAGAAGGCAGAGTTTTTGCTCCCCAACGTACCCTTGACTTCCTAAAGTTGTCCCTCTTCTCCAATTTTGCAGTTACAGAGGATAGCTGCAAAAATGGAGAAGTATTACTTCTTCTCTCCTAGTAAAAATGAGCATTAGGCATGTGCAGATCAACCCAATTGAATTTGAACTGGAGGTTTAAAGAGGGCATGATTTGATTTGAGTTGGTGATTTGAGGGCAAACTGAGCTGCTCTGAGATACAAGATACAATTAAGAAAAAGATTCATCCGCAGCTATAGTGGGGAAGCAGAAAAATGCTTGCAGCTGCTTTAATTTTTGGCAGAATGGGGTGAAAGTACCAGGGCTGGTGGACACCTCAGAGGAAATGTTTTGCAAACTTTTGGTTGGGTAGCTTCAACAATTTGTTTTTGAAATATTCCCGCTCTACCTTTTTTAAGGCAGAGATAGCAAGGAAGAGGAAAAGACAACACAGTAACCTCTGGTTGCCTAAGAGGAGGAGTTGTGCTGAATCAGTGCAGAGCATATCCTGCTACACCATAAAAATAAAGATTTTCAAAAACTTGTTTGAAAAGTAAGCTTTCTTCCTCTTACCTTTCTGAGGTAACAGGCTTGGCATGACACTAAAGAACCAACATTGACATGTCCTTACGGATTGGGGCACAATTTAAAAGTAAAGTTTAATCCCTGAGTCATACTGGATGTGCTGAAAGCTGAATTTGCTCCCAGTTGTGTTAGCAAGACCAGCAGAGAAGTGTATTGTTGTTCCATTATCATAAAAATGTGCAAAGTTAAAGTTTGTGGCTGGCCACATAGACAACACTCAGAGCTCAGCAAGTGAATGAAGCCAAAACAAGGCTATCTTTGCTACCCAAAGAGCTCCGATCAGCAGTGAATTTAATGAGATATTAAACTGATTGGCTTGCTGTTGTGTCAGTATCAAAGAGGCCATCGCAAGAAGTGAAGTTACAGGATTATATATTGCTTCTCACAACCCCAGAAATGGCAGAAAAGCCACTGAATATGCAGAGCTTTCGGCAAGTTACCCGATTCCATGCATGGCACTGAAACAAGTCTCTGCTTTGGTTACCAAATCTGCTTCGATGTGGCAGTTCTCTCAGAGCTTTATTAAGTCCAAGTAACCCTTTGCGGCTTTGCAGCACCCACTTAAAAATGTAATAGGTTGTCCAGTTTTGCAGCCTCTGAGTCACAGATCACAAGCTTTAAATGTTCAAGGACCAAAAATTAGGAATAGTATAGACAGAATATAACATATTATTATCATAATCTGAATTCAGTTGCTGTATCTCTGGTTAATGCTGAAAGTGTGACTCCACTGCTAAGTATGGCTTTAATACGATTTAGCATTCAGGTGAAAAGTGTTTGTCTGATTATGGTCTTTTGAGCTTTTTACTTTATACTGAGTGAACTGCAGTGATGTCCAGGGATTTGTTTCCTCAACAAGGAATGCAAAATCTCCCGTCCATTCTGGCTTAGAACTTCAAAATGTACATTTCTCACTTTTGGCAGGACCTTCCTTGAGCAGAAAATAGGATTAGGCCTGTGATTCTAGGCCATGACAAATGGCAGCATCAGAATACAAAAGACGCTCTGCAGGGTGATGCCCACGACGCTGTCTTCAAACATGAATGAGCTTCAAAACTTCAGGCATGAATGAGAAGGAAAATTACATATGTGTGGCCTCCCTTCTACAATTTTTTTAAAAAAATCTTGCAGACTGAAGATTAATAACATACTCACTGTAGTGAGGCTGGCATCGCTCTGTGATGAAGTATGATGTGTAAAAACTTTTGTTCCCGCTTTAGAGCAGCAGAGATAGTTATTTCCTGCCCTAGTTGCATTCTGAGATTGGGGGAAAATAGGATGGAATTGGGAGAACATTCCCATTTCTGTTTCCAGGTGCAGAGAGAAGTGGGGAAGAGATGGCTGGTGCTCTGACTTCCAACAGGGAGAAGTGCTCAGGGGACCCCCCCCCCATTGTACACAGATGGATTCTCTGCTTCAGCTGGAGCCCACCTCTGTATCTCTTGCCTTCAGGAATGAGAAATGGGGTTGAGGATTTGGGAGTTGTATTCAGAAGAGAGGTTCTGGGCCCTTTCTCCAAGCAGCCATGATTGTTTCTCTTCTGCCTTTCCTGTAAGAAAGCTTGTGTTTGTGTTGGAGTCCTTTGCTATTGCACAGAAGGAAGAAATTAATAAGGCTCATAATATTCTCTCTCACCCTTCCCATTCTCCTGGGTGAGAACCTCATGGATGGGAAGTGGGAGGCAGGACCAGTCCTTCTTTCTGTAAGGTCCTCTTTATTCTTTTAAAGGTGACCTTGTCTTCTTTGCTGCTCACATCCTTGACAACAGCCACCCATTTTCTTACTTTCCTTGCCATCCATACCTCTTAAGTCGGATGTTCTGCATCTTGTCATCCTGCGCTTCTCACAGGTTCCATCTCCTCTTCTGTGCAAGGCCCATATCCATCGCTCTGTCTGTCCTAGTGTGTTTGTTTGCCTTTGCTGCGTCTGGCAGGCATTTCCCTGACTCACCAAACCACCAGAAGTTCAAGGGGAGAAATTGTCTGGACACTCTGTGCCCCATGGGAGGATGCCAGATGCACCAAGCACATGGATGCCAAGAGAAACAGTTGCCACAAAGCCATGTGTAGTTATCCTAACATAGAAATGGTGGCTTCAAGATACATACAACTAACAGCTGAGAAGAAATCAGAATGAAAGGGACAATTGCATCTTGCAGAGTTAACACAGAACAATAAGTACCTCATATTAAAATTCTATATAGTAGATCCCCTGTGATGGAATGGAATTATGAAGGCCAAACTCAGGGAGGGAAACATGCTCTTTCGTCTCCTGAG